ACAGAAGTTATACCTACAGAGAGAATTCCAGAACTGGGAGCAGCATCTAGCGCTAACCCGTGTTCAAGTCCTGATTCCACCCTTTCTTAGCTGTGTGACCATAAGCAAGTTGCTTAACCTTTCTGTGCCTCAGTTCAAACGAAGGAAAGTAATACAGACTCTACCGTGTTATTGTAAGTGACAATTATTATCATTATTATTATCTCTTCATTGTTATTATTTGTTTAGTGGTTATGGGGGTCCTTGGAGAGACTGTACAGCATCATGGCTGAGAGCACAGGTGCTAAAACCAGACTGCCTATATTTAAATCCCACTTCACTACCTATAGCTATGTGATCTTGGTTAAGAAGTTGACCTTTCTGGGCCTCTGTGTCTTCTTTTGCCAATATTTCCCTTGGACAGAGAGATTGGTGTAGAGATGTAAGACTCAGTTGACCAATAGGATTCAAGGCCCAGATTTGTACTGAGAATACCAGGGGAAAAGAAGCACTCTTCCCATTGGGATTGCTGTGTTGGCAGGGTGTGAGCCTAGAGCCACTGGGGCCATCCTGGTGACCTCAGGGGGAGAGCCTGCCCGAATGTGAAGTTAACACAGGGGCAGCAGAAAAGAGCCGGAGAGAGAGTCAAGACAATATTGTTTGAGCTCCTGGATAGCGCTGTGCCTGAAGCAAGCCGCCTTTGGACTTCCCAGTTTCATGAGCCAGTAAATTCCCCATTTCGTGAAAGCCACTTTCAGTTGGGTTTTTCTCACTGGAAAGCATCCAGGCTGACACCAGGGGTTTAAGCAACTTGCCCAAGGTCTGAAAGCAAGTAAGAAGCAGATGCAAGATTTAAAAGCTTCCTACCCCACTGTTCTCAAGCCAGCATCCTGTATTTGGGTATTACTGATTTGACCTCTTTATGCTCTCTGAACAGCCATTTTCTCACCTGCAAAATGGGATAACATGGGGCTTGCTGGGCTGTTGGGAAGTATGAAATGTAAGCCCATACTGTTACCTAGTGCAGTCTGTGGCTGGAGACTGAAACGCTGTGCATCTAGTCTCCAGCACTGTGGGCGTTGGCTCTGTCCCCAGTTAGTTATTCCATCTCAGGGAGGTCTTTGGCTGCCCCCAAACCAGCAAGCCATCCAAATCAAGGTGCCAGACTATGTTAGGAGAACATGTGTGACTCTCAGACAGCAGGGCCACTTCTTTTCCTGGCCATGTGTCCTCACGGGTGGACAAAGGTAGCTAGATGACTCTGATGACCCTTGAACTCTGAGTCTGTGAGGTAGAAAGAAACCCCATCATCCTGGTTTCTGGAAGCTTCCGAGGACTACTGTGCTCATGTGGGAATGACATGATTCTAGGAAGACAGCATTGAACTAAATCAACTTAGTCTCTTTCCTTTTATGATTTTTACATTTAGCGGTGGCGATGGATGATAGACACATAAAACAAATATAGAATGTGATACCACATGTTAACAGACGGGAGAAAATGAGTCCTTAAATGCCTGCTAAGTGCTAAGAGGGAAAAGGGATAGAGTGATGGGATGCTGTTGATTGGAAGGCATCAGACAGGGCCTCTCTGAGGAAGCAACATTTCATCAGAGACCAATTGGGTCTCAGTCTGAATCCCGAGCTCTTAACCTGGGCTATTTCCCAGAAAAATGGCCAGGACAGATCATCAGGAAACTTGCTGACACTGCTAAGTTAGGAGCAGATGATCTGTTGGAGGCTTGGTAAACAGCCATCCTTCTCTACTGACAGATCTTTAGGACTTTTTAAAAAGTTTAATGGGTCATTGATTTCCTTCATTAGCTAAATCCATGAAGGAACGGCCCAATAAACTGCATGAGCCTATTCCTCAGGCATGCCTGCCAGGAAAAGTTTTTAGCTATCATGACACAGGGTCATTTGTTTACTTTCTAAACAGTCATCACTAAAAGAGTCCCAATCATCACCATCAAATCTCTGAGGGATCCCAGGGCTTGGCTGGTTCTAGGCCAGGCCTTGGCAGGAACTGGCAGGACTTTACTGATGAAATCCAAAGCCTCAGAGAGCCTCAGAAGACTTTGGGTCCCTCCTCTCCACTAAATATCAGATGCTTGGGACACAGACAAGAAATCAAGGTTCCTGCTCCCACTGAACATTACAGTGGGGGGCGGGGGCAGGAGAGGGAAGCAAGCCAACAAATAAGTAAGAAGGGGAATTTTAGACAGAGGTGAATGCCATGGTGCACGAAACAAGCTCTGTGTCAGAGAGTGGTCAGAAAAGACCTGTCTACGGAGGTGACATATGACCTGAGACCTGAAGGGTGAGAAGATCTCTAAGAAGAGTGGTGCAGAAGTTACAGCTGGGCAAAGGTCCTGAGGTGGAAACTAGTTCAACGTATTAAGGACTGGGATGGAGTGGAGTATGAGAAGAGGGAAGAGGTTAGGGAAGTAGGCAGGAGCCCATCTTGTGGGCTAGGGTTAGGATTTATTTGGGTTTCATTCTAAGAAGGATGGGGAACTATTGGAGGATTTTATATACTAGAGTCCCATGATCCAAATATTAAAAGCTCTACTGCTATGTGAAGAATGCATACAACGGGATTAGCAGATACCTGAAATTAGGGATTTTATTCAAGATCAATAGCTGTGACAATTTTCACCCTCTGACACGGTAATAGGTTGGGTGTCTCCAAAAAAAAAAAAAAAAAAAAAAAGTCCAAGTTCAAACCCCCGGAATCTAGAATACGATCTTTTTCAGAAAATTTTCTGATGTAATTAATTTAAGGATGTCAAAATGAAATCACCTTGGATTACCTGGGATTGCCAAATCATCCTAGATTAGGTTAGGTCCTAAATCCAGTGACAGGTACCCTTAGAGTGAGGCAGGGGAGATTAGACAGACAGACAAGGAGAAGATGGAGAGAAGAAAACCAGCTTAGCGATGAAGACAAGAGACTGGAGCGATACACCACAGGTCACGGAATGACTGAAGGCACTAGGAGCTGCAAGAGGCAAGGAAGCATTCTCCCCTAGAGCCTTTGGAAGGAGCACGGCCCTGCTGCACCTTGATTTCAGACTTCTGGCCTCCACAACTGTTTGAACACAAATTTCTGTTGTTTCAAACTACCAAGTTGGTGACAACTTGTTACGGCAGCTCTAGGAAATTAATACGGCCACGAAACAGCCCAAACTCAGACCCTGCACCAGCCTCCTGCAGCCCCCAAGAACCTGTGCATAGCTTCGGATCCACTCTGAGGCTGTGGCGGTCACTGGGTGGCACTCCCTGCAGGCATGAGGGCCAGCCACCTGAGCTCCAGAGAGACATTAGCTTTATTTACTTACTTAGCTCAGTTCAAGAGGACAGGAATGAACCAGCCCTGTTCTCTGTTCCTCCAAGGACCTCTCAGTTCTGTGAGTTCCAGACAATTTAGCACCCAGATAAACAAGGGTAAGAAGAGTGCAAGAACCTGAAGAGTCACTTAAATGGCTGAGACTTGAATCAGGCAGCTTCCAAGTATAGGGGTTTCCAAACTTTTTGCCAGAATAGGCATCTTCTATTAATTTTCCCCACGGAATATTGAGTTCCTAAGGATTTTGGCTATCAATCCAACTGCATTTACTCAATAATCACTCATTTACCTTCCCATTTGCTATTATTTGAAAGTATATAATAACGTGGGTGAATATTTGTTGATCCACTCACTATACTAAAAGCGAGATCCATAGCAATACACAAAATCATTCAATCTTCACACCACCTCTATGGGGTAGGTACTTTTATTATCCTCATTTTACGAAGGAGGGAGCTGAAGCAGAGAGAGGGTAGATAATTTGCTCAAAGTTGCACATCTAGCATTTAGTAGAGCTGAAATTTGGACCTAGGCAGCCCGCCTCCGAAGCAAGCATTCTCCTTGGAGACTTGGTGAAAATCTTGGCTTCCATGCCAATGTGCAATGCTACTAAGGACACGTGATTTTGCCACCGTGCACCTCAGCTTCCTCATCTATAAAACAGGAATAACAATCGTGCCTGTATTGCAGGGTTGTTGTAGAAATTAAATGAGAATGTGTAGGTGGAGCACAAGGCACAGTGCCTGCCACTCAAGGAATGAGCTAGAATTCAACCAGTGGTATCAGGAAGCTTCTCCTCTAGGGCAGGCTTGAGATGGGAACAATGAACAAGAGATGATTCCATTCTCTAGGTCCTCTGACCCCATGGAGTTCACAATCTCCATATAATATGCCAGGCCCAGAAATGAATGGCTTCAGGTAGAAGGCGACCTGACCAGCCTTTCTCGTATGTGCTTTAAAGACCCCAAGTATGGTAGCTGGTAAAAAATACTGATTCCTGGGCACCTGAATCCTTTTAAAGTGGTTCCAGAAATCTGCATTATCCAATAGATGAATGTACCATGCAATCTGTGCTCCACCGAGTCGTCTGGGCAGCATTTCCTTGCTACTCTGAGAAATACTGAAAATCATTCCAAGACCCCGATCCATTCATTCCTGCAGTGCCCAGGACAGGTGACCTCAAGCCGAAATCTTGCGTTTCATACAAGGACAGTACCCACGAAAAGGGGGCAGACGTTTGGCCTGAGGGGCAGCAGGCACGCAGCCCTCGGCCCATACTCCAGCTGGCAGCACTGAGGCCGGGGCCTCAGCGCTGCGGGAAAGATTCACGGCTACTTCAAGGTCACTCAGCGACTCCAAGGGCTGCGTGGAGGCTCGAACCTAAGATCCCCCTGGGGCCATGCAAACCCACGCTGCGTGGGCGGGGCTCCCGGGGTCGCCTAGGCAACGGGCGCGCGCCACGCCCAAGCCCCGAGCCCCAGGCCGGGGGGAGAAGGGAGCGCACGCTGCCTGACGTCTCGCGGGGCCGAGGCCATTTCCCCCAGCTCCTCCCCCGGGCTCCGCCCCGCGGAAGTGCTTGCCGACAGTCTCGGGCGCTGATTGGTTCTCTCACGCGGGGGGCGGAGCCTGCGGCAGCGCCGTGCGTACTTCCGGCTGCCGGGTTGACATGAAGAAGCAGCGGCGGCGGCTAGGGCGGCAGTAGCGGCGGGAGTTGAGGCTTGCGGCGGGGCTCCGGGCTGAGAGCGCGGCGCGGCCTAGAGCGGCAGGCGGTACAGTGGGCCCAGGAGGAGGCGCGGCAGCCGCCCTGGCCCGTCATGGAGATGGAAAAGGAGTTCGAGCAGATCGACAAGGCCGGGAGCTGGGCGGCCATTTACCAGGTGGGGTAGCGCCCCGGAGCGCGGCAGGCCCCTCGCTTAGGCCGCGTGAACCTTCCCTCAGACCCCCGGGCCCGGTGCTGCCTCTGGGTCTCGCCCTGCGCTTCCGCCCCGCTGCGTGAGGATTCGATCCGCCGGCGGCACCGGGCGGCCTCCTGTCTCTTTGTCCCCCGGGTGGGCCTGCGTCTCTCCGGGGACTCTCGGACCCCTTGGACCCCCCCCCCCCCCACCTCGTATCCTCCAGCCCGGGTGAGCTCTCAAGCCTGGAGGCCTCCCGTCGGTGCTCTCCGCGCGGGGCCCTCGCCCCCTGACCCCGCCCCCCTGCTTATCCACTCTTTGTCCCCCGGGGGTTGATGGAACACACGCTCCCCCCCCCCCCACTACTTCCTTTTCTAGCCTGGACCACCTCAGACGCTCTTCCTTTGTCTCCCTGGGGGGAAAGGGTTACTCCCCCCCTCCCTCCGTCCCATTTCCTTTCCCCTCGTGCCGGTGTGTGTCAAGTCCCAAGGATGACAGCCCCCTTCCCCCCCTTCCTGCTCATTCGTTGAGTGAACATGAATCGGCGTGCCCACTCCGTGCTGGGCACGGCGCTGGAAGACGGGCAGGACCCTCTTTTTCTCGCCAAAGCTTAGAGTCGAGTGGGGCAGTCAGAAACACGAGCGAGCCCTTTGAGGCTGTGACAAGTGCAGTGAAGAAAACAAGACATCCTGACGGGGTAGAGTCGCTGCCTGGAAGGTGGGCCACCTCCAGGGGGATCAGGGAGGATCTGTCAGAGGAAGAGACGACCGCGCTGTGAGCTGAATGGGGAGCCCCGACATGGTCCGGCCAGAGCGCTTTTCAGCCAGAAGGCCCGCGATTCCCACTAGTCTGGGGCCAAAATGTCACCGTTAACGTTTTTTGTTTGTCTGTTTGTCTGTCTGTCCCCCACCCCTTCTCTAAAATAGCTTCTTTTCCCCCCCGTGAGCATCTTCTCCTTTTTGTCCTGGCTGAGATGATTGAGCCCTCTCTCCCAGTCCTCCATCTCCCTGTGGGTTACGTGGTTCATAAATAAAAAGTTAGGAAGGTAGGGTTTCTCACCTATCTGCAGCATCAGATGAACAACACGAAAAGGTCTGCTTTCATAAGCAGCTAAATCCTCTAAAGAAAACACGGGCTCCCGATTAAATGTCATTGCGGGGGCTGTGAGGATTAACCACAACCACACTCGGTATTTTAAATAAGCGACGGAGGGAGTAGGGAGATTTTGTTACTCGTGTAAAGGGAGAATGCAGTTTATTCTGTTTTCGGCTTATGGGCCCAAAAGGCAAATTGTGAGATCCATCAGCTGGTAGAATTAAAGTCTATTTTGAGCTCCACTTAAAAAGGAAAAAAGCTTTAAGCAGTTCTTTTGGTATGCTTGCCTAACAAAAGCCTTTTTTTGGCAGGCTTGGCTTCATGCGGATTTGCATCAAGCTTATTTTGACAGGATTCTTCTTACTAGAACTGTAATGGATAGTAACTTCTTGATAGACTAATATTTGTAACCACTGTAATCAGTATAAGTGTGCTGAATCAATATGTGAAATTTGTATTCTCTCTAGTCTGAGGTAATTGAATGAATTCCACTAGTGACTTTGAGAACGTGTAGGCAAATTTTCTGCATCAAATTTAATGCAGTAGTGTCTCAGTGGCTTTAAATGAAGAGATTGTTGGCTCAAAGTGTTGATTAGAATATGTGCCCCATCACAAGTGGAGGTGGCCCCCAGGAAGCTTTGGGGAACATCTTCTGTACTGAAACTAAGTTGGCAAACAACAAATTCATATTCTAAAAAGTTCTTGGGAAAAACAAAAACCAGTTCTTGGTTGAATTTTACTACTGTTTTAGGGCAGAGTGGGGAAACCCATCACCCAAGCATTGTTAAGACTGTGTTAGGCATAACCACCAGCATGAAGCATGTTGGTTTTCAGTTGATTTCCCTTGCTGTTCTTATGTTTGTCTGTCACATTTGAATACCAGAAGTTAGTCACATTGCAATGTGTTGAGATTTCCCCAGCTTCTTAGTGGATTGCAGATCCACAAAAGAAGGTGGCTTCTTTTTATTTTAAAGAATTGTCCACTGTAGGCTTTCTCACCTATTCCGTACAGATGTTTTTCTTTTCTAAAATTGAAATCAGAATCTCCTCTCAGTTTTAAGTTTAAAAGTGGCTCTTTATGGGGCAACTGTGGCAGTTTTAAAAACGTAGAGTTCAAACGACCTTGAGTCCAAAGTGGCAAATTTCCCCAAAGTGTGTCAGTTTGCCAAAACCATTATTTTTCAAGAATTCAAAGAAACGTGTTTATTGTTGGTAGAATATAGAAGTAAAAAAATTCGTGCCTTATTACATGTCACAGTGAGGGCAGCCTTATATAAAGATATTTGGAGCTTGTGTAGTTTATTGTGATTAGAAACGTGATATATAATTTTGGCTTAAAATTTTGTAAATGAGACAGTGCAGTTATTTCTTACCATATTTCTTTCCTAACTAAAACAAAAAGATGCAAGACCTTGGAAACAATTGGGAGAAGAACAAAGGGTGAAGTAGTGAAGTAGACTCGAATGCCATGCCGTAGAATATGGTGGCTTAGGAAACAAATATCTCAGGCGAAGATTCTGTGCTAAGATTCTGTGCTAGCTCAATTTGATAAAGTGAGCATAACTGTGTTTTTAATAACCCTAATCGTGTAGATACTAATTAGCATTTATATAAGAAGTCAGCTTCGATAGCATATGTAGATGGTTTTAAAAATTTTCTGTCATTTAAGCAATTGTGTGCCTGTTTTGAAAAGTGCTAGTAACACTGAGCCTGAAGTTTGAGTTGGTCTGGCTGTGGAGAAGAGGAGAGAGATTCCAGACAGGGGAGAGGGATTGTTTTTTTCGGAGCTGATATGAGAGAGAAGAGGGCTGAAATGAATGAAGATAGCTAATGAGCTGCCCTCCGATTGTAGTTTCAGATTTGGGTCAGGTGTTTTGCTGTTTGTCTCATCTCCAGTTCTTTGATTCTCTGCACTGTTCACTATTTTTCACTGTGAATGATGTGATTGTTTCAGATAAAGGAGATTGCAACAATAGCTCGTGACTTGAAGTCAAGATTTATTCCATGTTAGAGGCAGGCTTTGTAAAGTGGGCCACTCTTCCAATTGACATTTGTTTTTATAGCTACTTGCATTATGAAATATGATCGAATGCTTGACTTAGGTTAAAACCATGTTCTAACAGTTCACTCAAATTCCTTACTGCTGTATGCAGCTTATATTGTTACAGTCCAAGAAGATGAATATGAAAATTTCCTAATAATTTAGAAGTATCATTCTTTTCAGACAAAAAACTGCTTTATGCAGAGGAGAAAGATCTATACACTATGACTCACTTCACTTAAAAAAAAAAGACAAACGGAAATGACATGGAGACATTGGGAAGTTCTAGTCATCTTGAGTGACCCATTAGATCTAAATGTTCTCGTGTAGCCCTGGTTTGAGTGAACTAAATTTAGGTGTCTGATCACCACTTTGGAAATGGTGTGAAGACCTCTGTGATTGTCTGGACTCAGATTAACTGGGAGCACAAGTAGAAATAGTGGAGGGGAAGTATTTTTGCTCTTATTATTTCTTTGGCATCCCTGGCATATTTATACTTTGGTACTTTTGGAAGTATGTAAGCTGTATAAGATCAATCAGTTGGCTCTGAAAAGTCAGCCAGGGGATAATGGTAATGTGAACGATTTTCAGTTGCCAGTGACCTACCATTGGGCTCCAGGCCTTCCTTCCTGTGTTTGCATTTTAGCATGGATGGCTCCCCAAAATCTATAAAAAATACCTGGTATTTTTTTTTTAAGATTTATTTACTTATTTATTTATTCATGAGAGAGAGAGAGAGAGACAGAGACAGAGACACAGGAGGAGGGAGAAGCAGGCTCCATGCTGGGAACCCGACTCGGGACTCAATCCCGGGACCCCAGGATTGCGCCCTGGGCCAAAGGCAGGCGCTGAACCTCTGAGCCACCCAAGGATCCCCAAATACCTGGTATTGAATAATGTCACTGAATGTATACTGAATTTTGTGATAGAAATACATTTAAAAAATGCCCCGTAGGGTTTTTCAGACTATAAACCGCTGAAATAATTGTGCCTCTTCTTTTTGTCCCCTCCTCCCTGCCCCTTTTTAAGTTGTCTATTTTCTGATCTTTATTTTTTTTTTAATTTATTTATTTATGATAGTCACAGAAAGAGAGAGAGAGGCAGAGACATAGGCAGAGGGAGAAGCAGGCTCCATGCACCGGGAGCCCGATATGGGACTCGATCCCGGGTCTCCAGGATCGCGCCCTGAGCCAAAGGCAGGCGCCAAACCACTGCGCCACCCAGGGATCCCTATTTTCTGATCTTTAGATGAGAGAATCCTTTTGGCAATTTTTGTCTTATGCCGTTTGTTTAATTGCAGGTCTTTTTTGTAAACCTGCCTGCGAGCCTTGCATATTTTGCACAAGCTACTATTCATCTCTAGTGTTTGTTAATTTGTTCATTCTTATTACTTTGTCAGTGTGTTAATTCGTTGGTTAATTTTTAACGAGCTAATACTGACAAACAGGCTGGGTTCTTCCTAGGAACCATGTTCAGGGAAAATGGGAAGTCCTAGGTGGGCCTAGCTGTTTCCAAGATGATGTAGTTTGGTACCAGTCATTAGATGTGCACATCTTGAATGTCCATGACTGCCGGGGCTAGTCCTGATTCCCTCTACCACATTTCATTGATTGGCCACCATGGCATCCTTTCTACCACTCAGGGTCTGGGTCCTCCAGTTTTGCCTGTGAGACTCTTGTTTTTAGTTTCACACCACAGAAATGAGGTAAACCTGTAACAAATTAATACGGTCCCGTCACAGTCTCACCATGTATATTCTTGGCATTATCCTGGGAATAATTGTGTTAAAAACAGACCTGAGCCTGTCCTTCTGTCGAACTCCTTCTAGTGTTTCCATAGTACCTGTAAG